CTGCAGGCGTACCCCGCCACTGCCACGCGTCGGGCTGCCTATAGGACCTGTAGGGAGCTCGGGATTCCCACGTAAACCTGCACTATTGATACCCAGAGAGAGAAAAACAAAACAACAAAAGGCACTTCAGAATGGATTCAGGGAGTCTCCACTGACTTTTTATAAAGAACGGCCTGTGACCAATTTGATCCCGAAAGATACTGTTTTTTTTTTATTTTAAAGAATTTATAGATTGTAAGCTTGTAAAAGTATTAAAGCAAAAAAAAAAAAAAGAACGAAACAAAAAAAAAGGATTTAAAGGTTAAGCTTTTTTTACAGGTCTGATGGGGAAAACTTATCTTCACGGGTAAAAAGTTTTATAAAACTCTCAAAGAACTTTTTAAAGAAACATATTTCTAAAACAAAGACATGGCTATTTTTTTCTGTAAAATATATTATGAATATTCTGTTAGTCTGTATTTAATATAATTGTTTTTTAATAAACTTTATTTAAACATAACATGTGAATACCAAATATTACACAGTAATTCTAGTGTATACTTCTGTATGCAAAAAGAAAGTAAGGGTATGGAATGATTTACAAGTATGTATAGATCCATATGCATACACACTGACCTATTCTAGATAATAGAAATGAATTTGTGGAGTGAAGGAAGTGTTTCCGGAAGAGATTAAGTTTTGTTATTTGAAGTAACTACAAATACCGAGATAATCTTTTTTTTTTTATTATTTTATTTTGTTGGTATTTCTAATGTACCCATCACTGAATTATGCCACTGGAAAGGATAACAGTTGCACTGAAGCTCTCGATAAAGCATTCTTCTGTCTGTCCTTCACTTCAGTTTGTGCAACAGGGCTTACATTTCCTCCGTTTCCTGCTCACACTAATATGGAATATTGATGGACAAAAAATTACCGTTACAGTACCACCCTTTCTATTTGCTTATTTATTTTGAAAAGGTGTTGCCTATTCTGTGTTGTCGTGGTACACTCTACCAAAGCACATATTCCGTAGGAGGAACTCCTGTTTAAAAGAATGCCGACAAGTTGCGGGGGGCGGGGGGGATCATGGACCTGGGTGTTGAGACCCACACGCTTCATTTATGCTACACAAAATTGTTGCTTGCTTTGACTTTGGTAGAAATGATTTGCCTGCATCTAAGCATAGAATAAGAACCATTGGGTTTAAATATTTAAACCAACTGTCTGCCATGATGTTATATGTCCTTTTAGCTGGAAGAGAAATGATTTGGTTCTGGTATGTGATGCTTTCACATAAGGAAGACTTCGGCAACGTTTTATATTTTTGAGGCTAATTGTTTACTGAACTTCATGACAAATTCTGTATGACAATGAAATCTGGATAAGGAAAGGTGGCCTGTGAAATGTAACATCTCTCTCGAAAGTAATGCCATATTTTGTATATGTATTTATTTATATATTT